CATTTTGGAGGGAGCAAAGGGAGTGTCCACTCTCTGGCACCCAGGTCCAAAGTTCCAGAACTCAGTTCTCAGAAAAGGGGCAACCGACGAGGAGGGGTCAGAGATCTGGTCTGATACCGGTGAGCGGGGCAATCTTAGGCAATCACTTCCTGTCGTGAGCCTCAGTTTCTCCATCTGTAAAGGGGGCAAGGTGTGGAATTTGACAAGGGGATGAGCAGGAAGGGCACTCCTGGTAGGGGGCAGGCTACTCGACGGCAGGGAGTGTCGGGAGTCCTGCCCATGGAGCCTGGCTTGCTGCGGGGAGCAGAGTTTTGTGGGTGCAGAGGTGGCAGAGGGTTGGGCCAGGGGCCTGCAAGGGGCTATGGGGTGGAATTAAGAATCTGTTGGGGACTGGGAGTGTGGTGTTTGTGCTATGTTGGAGGGGTGGTTTGGTCAGGGGGTAGCTTAACCAGCACCCTGAGCCTGGTGTACAGATGGCAGCTCAGCCTCTGTTTCACTGGGTGAAATCAGAAGCCCTTCTTCCTTTCCACCCCTCACATCCACCCTGCAGGAAATGAATGGAGATGTGTGTCTGTGCTCTTCCTAGTCCTAGCGCTCCAGAATTCTGGGGTCCTGCCCTCAGCTCGGCTGTCCTGGCTCAGCTCTGGGATGTGGCTTTTAGGGAAAAGCTCCTGCACATGGGCTGCCTCCAAGAATACAGGCGGAGGGACCTTGGCTGTCCCGGCCTGGTCTGGTGCATCTCTCTTGTGAGGACGTGTTGCTGGAGTGTGGCCCTTTAGGACATGGTTGATGAAGCATCACAGCATCTTATAAGTGGAGAGAAAGTGCTGCGTGCTTGACAGCTTTGGGAAGAGCTGGGGGAGGGGATGGAAAAAAGCAGCTGTTCCATTCCAGTGGGGTTCCTGCTGCGGGACCACGACCCCAGCCAGCTGCCAGCCCCACCCAAGGCCTCGGATGCTCGAGAACACTTGCAGGGAATGCCCCGACTTCTCCAGTAGGTGAGGGAGAACACTGCAGAGGCAAAGCAGAGGGTGGAGTCTGGAGTTACTCCCGTCAGTCTGTGATAAGGCTTTTGGGAAACAGAATTCTCTCTTTTCAGATTGCAAAAATAATCCATATGTACTATGAATATTAGAAGGTACAGATCATCAAAATATCGTGGCCATCCATGACCCTACCAACCAGAGATAACTGCTATTAATTTGTTTGTAACATCCTTTATAGATAATTCTCATCCTCCTTTCTCCCCTCCATCTCCTCCTCCCCCTCCCTGTCCTCCTCCTCCTTCATCATCTTCTTCTTCCTCTCTCTCTCAGACGCACGCACAACACATACACCCATTGCATGTCAGTTAACACAGATCCACCCTGTCATTTGTCACTTCTAGGTGGTCTTTCACTGGAGGTACATAACAACGGTCTTGTCCCATTCATCCTTTTTCACCGTTATCAACAATGCTTGATGAACATCTGTATACATACCTCTTTGCCTTCTTGCCCAATTGTGTCCTTAAGTTCTGTCACCAGAAGGATTCATTTGCTGCATCAAAAAGTATCCAGGTTTTCAAGGCTTTTGATACATACTGTCCTATTTCCTTCTAAGGAGACTGCCCCAAAATGCATTCCCATCTGCATTGTTTGAGAGCCCCATGTGCCCCCTGAGGTATTTCTCTTGTTCATTCTCACCAGTCTGAGAGGTGAAAAATGCTGTTTTCAGTTGTTGAAGACTTCCTCTCTTGGCCGGAGTTTCCACACTCTTCCTACCTGGGTTTCCTGAGGACCTACTACATGCCCGAGCCATCCCTGCTACTGAGGAGGTTTCCCCATGCAGCCCATTCTGTGCCCGCTGCTTTGCTCCATGTGTTTGGCCGCCCAGACTTAGAAAATGATAGACAGAGCTGGAGGGGACCTTAGAGATTGTCCAGTGCCCTCATTTTAAGGAGAGGAAACGGAGGCCAAGGAGGGGTGGGGGCTTGCTGCCGGTGCAATCGGAACTCTGAATTCAGGCAGGGATTCCAGTCCTTACGCTTCTCCTGATTTTCTCACCCATCCTCAGGAGCACTGGTTGGTCCAGTTTAAGTCCTGGGTTCCATTCAGGGTCGCCTACAGCAGGTGCTAAGAAAATATTTACCGAATGAATGTGCATAATAGAGCACAGGAAATAGTACATTTTGTGAAAATGTGCTCAACATTCCAAGAAGAAAGGATGTTTTGTTGGGTGCCCCTCTGGGAAGAAATGCCTTTTTTTTTTTAATAAAAAAGAAAGTGAGTAGGCTGTTGGAATTGGTGGAGGAGGAGAGATGGGGCTGCCTGGGGCTTAGGGCAGTGTTTGTGTTTGGAGCTGTTGGGTCACTGGAATTTCCCTTAGGTTCCTCCGTGCTCCCAGAGATGGACTGATAGACACAGGGTAGGGGTGGCAGATGGGAGAAAAGAGCTTAGTTTCCTTTGGTGGCTTGTGTGAATCTACACAGATTTCTTAAATGGTCCCCGGGGACTGTCTCAAGTCCTCTCCCTTATCCCCTTTCCTCAGACCACGCCCCCTTGCCCTCACCTTCACCAGAAGGTCCGTCTGGCTTTTATCTCCAGCACCTTTTCAGTGCTGCTTAGGCCCTTCAGGACACAGGAGGTGGCTTGGTCTACGCAGAGACTGGAGTTTTGGTCTGGCTTCATTTCTGATGGCAGTGGGACCTTGGGCAAGTCACCCGTCCTTGCCATGTCAACCCGGCCATCTTCCTGTTCAGGCCAGACAGGCTCTCAAGGGGGCTCTTATCCCATCTGCCTCCTGCCACTTGCCTTCTTCCCATCTTTCCTCCTGCTGATGCAAACGTGTTATCGCTCATCACAGGTAACCTTCAGGTAACTCCCTCTCCCCGCCCCCCAGTTTCCAGCACTCTGAGGGAGAGAGTACAAAGCTCCTTCCTAAGGCTGCCAGCCTGGGTGGTCTGGTTCAGGTGGACCTCTCTAGGCTTGCCTCATGCTTCACACCAGCCACACTGGCCTATAACCAGCTGTGTGCCTTGGGCCAGCCCCTCATCCTCTCTGAACCTCTGAACCCCATCTATAAGAGAGACAACATGAGAATCCCAATTGCTCTGCTTGTTTGGAGGATAACAACCACTTTGAAATGACTCTCAGCTCCTCTGGGCCCTACTTCTCCAAAAGAAGTCACAGATTCCAAAGATCCCGATTCTCAATAAACCTTTATTTCTGCAAAAGAACAGACTGCCTTTATTCCAAGCTCAGTTATTCCCAAAGAATGCTTTCTGTCTCAGTTATGTCTTGTTGTGTCTTCACCTAGGCCAACAGTGTCTACAGATGGAGAATACATTTATTTATGCCACTTCCTTACTAGGGGTTGTGTTGTCACATCCATTGTCACACTTCATCTCTGTCATTGCTTTCTTTCAGGAGGAATAATCCCACGTGTATGAATACCATGCTTTCTCACACACAGCCCTCCTGTAGCCAGATTGCCACAGAAATATTATTCTGGGAAGCAAGGGTCTGACCCTAGTGATTAATTTACTGGGGGATGTTCTTGGGGAATCCATTAATCATTTTCTCAACACATTTTATTGATAGGTATGTACAATAGGTAAGGTGATGGGTAGATATAATATATCCCATAAGGGGTGCTTAAGGAAAACCCCTCCCTCATCCCACCATGGAGTGGGGCAGGTGTGTTTTACCTCCTAGAATTAGGTTCTCAGATGGCATAGATCATCAGATTCCAGAAAACTAGAAGGATGAGATCCTAGCTTCTTTTTATCTAGTAGATGGGATACTGCCTGATTCATGAATTGCTGAATAAAGCCAGTAAGATCTTTAAATTTTATTCATTTGAATTTTGCTTTTTAATGATATTATGATACAACTTCCGAGGGCAAGAAAAAGACAACTTTCACCTCTTCCCAATGCTGCTGGAATTCCCAGGCCCATCCTGGAATGCTCACTCAACTAGAACCCTGGGACCAGGATGGAGTAATTAATGGTCTATCCCTAGGATGTCCTGGCACAGGGCTGTAATTGTGGATTCAGGAAACCTGGTCTTTGACTAACTCAATTCTCTCCACATAATTAAAAGAGGGTGAAGGGAAATGTCAGGAGGAAGTATGCATTTAAATTTTAAAGAGCCTTGTTCATTTTTGAATCCTCACCTTTTTTTCCTGCCTTAATTCTTGGCCTCTGTAATTACTTTAACACCCCCCCCCCCCGATTTTAGAATAGAAAAGGAGTTAGGAGTCAGAGGAAGCTGTCTTTAACATTTCATCTTCCTTTGGTATCATGTAGGATTTTAATTTCGAAGCATGGCAAAGAGGCAGAAAAAGCTTCAGGCCACAGATGAAAAGAATCAATTTAAAATGAAGATAGATTTTTTTCTTTTCTTTTCTTGAGATCTTTCCCCTAAAACTACCTAAAGAATGAAGCCCTCTGCCAGTGCTGATTAGAACAGAAGGCATTTCTCGTTCCATAGGAATGGGTATAGGAACAAAAGTATTCCAAAGCAAGGACTTACTTGAATTCACTGCTAAATCCAGTACATCAGGCTCCCGGGAGGGAAAAGTAAGTGCTGAAATTAACCTGATGTTTGGGAAATGTCAGTTAAATGCCTTTGCAACTTCATCACCATCTACTCAGGGGAAAACACCGCTATTCAAGCTTCCCGTTTGCCTGAGAGTCAGAAGCTTCCAAACCAAGAAAGGAAGAAACCATGCGGGTTATTTATGAGCTCCTTCCCTCTTGCAGTTTTAAGCCACTGTGAGAGAAGCCTGTTTGTTGCCGCTCTGGGGCGAACCCGGGGCGACTTAACCCGGCTCGGCAGGGGTTGGCGGGGCCGGCCCTCCGCGCCTCCCAGCGGCCACGTGTGGTGGTGCAGCCCCGGCCCCAGGCTGCAGAAAAGCGGGCCGCCAGCAGACAGCGCCGCATCCTGACGCTGTCAGCGCGCACAGCTTGGGCTGCGCTCCTCGCTCGCCTTCTGTCCCTATCCAGTGACCAGTTAGGTGCGGGCGCGGGGAATTCCAGCTGAGGCTTCCGAGTCTGAGACCTCACGATAGTGTCAGGCTGGGTGCCGCCCGCCGCCATCCCAACCTGGCCTGGGAGCGCACGCGTCTTCGGAGCTGTCCGCGGCGGTGCAGTTTCCCCGGGGAGCCAACTTTAGGCCAGCTGGAGGACTGGGTGCAGGTAGCTGGGTCTTGCGCACGGGTAGACGGGTTGGCTGGGGCTGGGGGAGCCATTGGAACCCGAGTGGAGGTGGTGGGGTGCCTCGCGCCCCTGGCACCTGGAGGCACTCCCCATGCTCCCACAGACTGCAAAGAGACCGCTTAGGATCAAGATGCAGAACCCTTAACTGTCGAGGGCCAAGACCACATCGGCTTCCTGAGGCAGCTGGGCTGGGGAGGATTCTCATGGGAGGGCTTCCCGGAACAGCAGTTGGGCGTCCTGGGGGTAGGTATTGAGACAGAAGTTCTTCCAGGAGAGACCGCTGGAATGGGGGTCCCACCGAAGCAGTCGTTGTGGAAGTTCCGGGGGGTGAGAGCGGATGCGAAACGTCTTAGAAATAGGAGGTTGAAGGGGGATGGTTCTGAGCTGGAGTTTCCCAAGCAAGTGGCTGTTTGGGGGGATCTCTGGAGGAAGTAACTGGAGTAAGGAGAGATGGCTGTTTGGGGCGTCTTGCGGGAAGATACATATGCTGAGGGTCGGGGGTGGGGTGGGGCGGACAGCTGCTTTGGGGCTCTCTGGGAGAGGTGGCCTGTTTAGGAGGCCCAGTCCCGGAGGAAAGTGATTAGGACCCTCCCCTCTCTCCCAGTACAAGTGACTTAAAATCTTAAGAAACTGGCAGTCTGGTAGATTCCCGCTCATTTCCAGTGGCTCAGAGGAGGTACCTCAAACGGGGATTTCTGGGGTGGCGGCTGAACCACCCCCGGGCTGGCGGTTGTGGAATAATGTGGTCCCAAATAATGTGGGGTTCCTGGGAAGGGAACAACTGAGCCGCACGTGCGTCGGAGATAAGTGCTTGGTCTTCACAGGGGCCTCTGGATTGTTTCAGGCTCGGCCCGCAAATCGGCCCTCGGAGTCTCAGGGAGTGGAACCCGAGGAGCGCCCCCCACCCCCGCCCCCCCAGGCGCGTCGGGCCCCACCCCGCCGCACTACTCCTTAAAGGGCTTGAAGACCAGGGGCGCACGGCAGCAGCCACGGTCATGGAGGGCGCGCTGGTGGCCAGCTGGAGCGCGGAGGCGGTCAACGGCAGCGAGGCGCCTCCGGAAGCCGAGGGCAACCGCACCGCCGGGCCCCCGCAGCGCAACGAGGCCCTGGCGCGCGTGGAGGTGGCCGTGCTGTGCCTCATCCTCTTCCTGGCGCTGAGCGGCAACGCGTGCGTGCTCCTGGCGCTGCGCACCACGCGCCACAAGCACTCGCGCCTCTTCTTCTTCATGAAGCACCTGAGCATAGCCGACCTGGTGGTGGCAGTGTTCCAGGTGCTGCCGCAACTGCTGTGGGACATCACCTTCCGCTTCTACGGGCCCGACCTGCTGTGCCGCCTGGTCAAGTACCTGCAGGTGGTGGGCATGTTCGCCTCCACCTACCTGCTGCTGCTCATGTCTCTCGACCGCTGCCTGGCCATCTGCCAGCCGCTGCGGACGCTGCGTCGCCGCGCGGACCGCCTGGCCGTGCTCGCCACGTGGCTGGGCTGCCTGGTGGCCAGCGCGCCGCAAGTGCACATCTTCTCGCTGCGCGAGGTGGCCGACGGCGTCTTCGACTGCTGGGCCGTCTTCATCCAGCCGTGGGGGCCCAAGGCCTACGTCACGTGGATCACACTCGCGGTCTACATCGTGCCCGTCATCGTGCTCGCCGCCTGCTACGGCCTCATCAGCTTCAAGATCTGGCAGAACTTGCGACTCAAGACGGCGGCGGCGGCGGCGGCGGCTGCAGAGGGGCCCGAGGGCGCGGCGGCGGGCGGCGCGGGGCGCGCGGCGCTGGCACGCGTCAGCAGCGTCAAGCTCATTTCCAAGGCCAAGATCCGCACGGTTAAGATGACCTTCATTATCGTGCTGGCCTTCATCGTGTGCTGGACGCCATTCTTCTTCGTGCAGATGTGGAGCGTCTGGGACGCCAATGCGCCCAAGGAAGGTAGCGCTGGCGGGAACCCCGGAGGAGGGAGCGCGGCGGGGCGGGGTCCTCGTCCTGCCCCCTCCGCACCGACAGGGTTCTGGGGATCTGTGCGGGGGGATGCGGGCCTTGGAATCCTGCCGAGCTGGGTTTGAGTCATGGCTCCATTATCCATTGGCCAAGGGATTTGGGGCTTAACTTCCCTGAGCCTTGACTTCCTCTTCTGTAAAATGGCCATAATGATGAAAGTACTGGCTCTCATCAGGGGGATGAAATGAGAAAATGCACACAAGGTCCTTAGCACAGCCCTTGGGCTACATATGGGGCATATGGTTCCTTTTTATGGACGGGAAAACTGAGGTTCAACTGACTTTCCCACCTGGTTAGCAGTGGTGGAAGTAACTTTCGAACCGCGGTCCAAGCTCAAGCTCACGCTCACCACTTTAAATTTACTTTATGTTGAACTTCCCCTTTAAGTTCAAATCAACCTGAGCACAGGGGGTCTGGTTTGGATGAGGGCAGCAGGAGGTGGGCTATTGATTTGTCCAGCTTGGCGCTGAGTACCTGAGTAGGTCCGGGGCAGGGTGTTGTGGGGATGTGAAGTCGAGTCGCTGAACCCCTGGCCCGTTGGAGGCGGTGAGTCTCGAAAGGCAGAGAGGTGAGTGCGGGGGCTGGGGGGTGGTTGGGCAGCTTGCGGTGGCCGGGGGTGCCCAGGGCCAGATTCGGTTGCTTGTCCTGTGGGGTGGGGAGGGGCAGTAAAAGGATGGGAGCCCCAATACAAAGATGCAAACTTCCCAATTTGATCTGGGAGGCTGGGTGATTTCTGTAGGGAGGGAATGTGCTCTCCAGATGGGAGGACTGCGGAGTGCTGGGCTGAGGGCGGTGTGGGGAAGACCTGGAGGAGAAGGTAGAATGGGCTGGTCTGTGGGGAGGGAGCTTGGGGGAGCAGAGAGCGCCTTGGGTCCTGGGGCTTGTGGCCAGCGCTGGGCTGCTGGGAGCTCCAGGCAGCTTCGCCTTCATTGCACACAATTCCAATAGCTTATCTGCAAAGATCAGGAGGGATGATCAGTGATGGTGAATGACAGACATTTTGTTTGAGGGTAAGCCCCTAGCACTGCACTGGGATGCAGGTGACTCTAATGATTCTAAGAGTAGATCGAGGGGTTTGCTTTTACCCTTTTTGCAGAAATGTCCCATTTCTAAATATAATCACTCCTGCTCTCAGAAGTCTAAAATACACCCATCCCGTGGAAGCTGAAATCTCCCTTCATTCAGCTGGATAACTTCGCTTTGCTCTCTTCCAGAACCACAGACTCCTGGCTTTACCCAGCCCTGCCTGTTAACCTAGCGTTTTTCTTAGTGGCCTGGGCAATTATCATTCAGCACATACGGAGCACCTGTGGTACAGCAGGCTCCGGCAGTGTCAGGGGAGGATTGCTGTGCAGACGCAGCGGAGCCAGCCCTGCTCCACGTTGCAGAAAGGGTTCAGGGGTCCAGAGGGGGAAGGTGCTTGCTCCAGGTCCCACAGCCAATCGGAGGCAGACTAGAGCTGGGGGTTCCTGCTCCCACCCCAGCTCTTTCCTCCTGTGCCAGCCTTCTGATGAAGGACACAGAACTAGGGAGTTGGGCTGGGCAAAAGTCAGCAGTGGGTGTTTCTAATTAAGGCATCAGGCTACACTTATTTCCTGGGCAGGAGCCAAAGAGATGCCAGACCTGGGTCTTGAGGAGCTCTAACACCAGTCCTTGAGGAAGTGAGACCGATACTGAGCAGATACTGGGGAGCCCTCCCTCTAGCCCTTACTAGTGTGGGACTTTGGGTGAGGGGTCCCCTTCTCTCCTTTGACCCTTAGTGTCTTGCTTTTAGAATGAGGACATTTCAACATTCAGTTCATTCATGCCTCTCTCTTTCCCTCCCCTGGCCTCTCCCACTCATTTTTCTCCCTGATGAATTTTTCTCCCTCCTTCTTTCCCCCACCCCCTCTTCATATGACTTCTTGTTGTCCACCCCCTCACCTGCTCTCCTCTTCCTATTTTCCTCCCTAAAGAATGAGAGTATATGGTCAACACATATCCTAATCACTGAGTGAGGTTTCCATCTTTCCTATGCTTTAAAAGGACATCAGATAATCCATGTCTTTGTCTTAAAACACAGGAAGAGAGAGATTGAGAGAGAGAGCACCCAACTAAAGTGGGGGCCAGAGGTGTTTTGGGTACATGTGGTCCCCTGAGGATTTCCCTTCGGTAGAGCCAGGTTCCTGCTCTCAGGCTCCAGGAGCAGGGAGAGAAATAGACTCTAGGAACCTCAGGTCTTCCCTCTGTTCCTTTGCTTCTTTCCCAGTTCAGAGGAAAGGGTGGGTGCCACATGGAAAGCCCAGGTCCCCCTCATCCTCCTCTGTACCCTGTCTTGGGTGCTCCGAGAAGAGAACAAATGCAGACAACATGGCAGGGGATTCATGATGCCACTCCTGCAAGGAGCGGGCACTCAGTCCCCATGTAACGGGCCTATCAAGCACCGAGGACTTGGGCTCTGGTCGCCAGCCTAGCCAAGTCATGCCCTGGCCTCAGGGTTGCAGTGGGGATCTGAGTGGACCGCAAGCTCCGTGCCCACTTGGCATTAATTGGGATAATTACAAGTAGCAGCCTGGGCCATCAGAAATAATGGTGTTTATAGTCCCTTTGGAGACGTGACTCCATCTGGAGGCTATCGGCAAGTGTTAAGGAACAAAACAAAGATACAGTTGAGCTACTCAAGAGATTTTGATCAGCACTGGGAAAGGAATGCACAGCCCTCACTTTCCAAGAGGAAGGGAATTGAGAAGAGATGCAAAATATCTAGATCTGGGCCCCTTGCTCTGCTCATCTCCTGGGGGCTGGAGGCTGGAAGTTCAGGAAGCCCAGGAGAGCAGCCAGACATTCTTCCGGGAGGCCCGGGGCGTCGGGTACAGAGAGAGGTGGAGGGAGTGGGATGCATGTGGCATTGGTTTGTCATGAAAACCTCTGAGGGAAGGAGAAGCTCTGGAACCACAGGCTACAGATCATGGGCTGACAGAGGGGTTGGAGAAGGCACGCTTGCCTTGGCAGCTGGCCACGTGGCCCTTGGCCAGCCTCACAGCCCCTGCCTCCGTGAGGGTTTGTGTGCCCTGGCCTTCTCTCTAAACCCAGGCGCTCCTTTCACACGTCTCTCCTTTGATGGACTTCTTTCCCTCCTACACCTTCATTCACACCAAGCGCCAAGCGCCAAGCGCCACCTTTATGGGTTTAGAGCTCACTTTGCTCCAAAAGTAATGAGAGGTTGGCCACAAAGATTCAGGTATTGTGGCAAGACAAAGTAGATACAAGGAAACCTAGATGAAGGGGAGGAAAGGATAGGAAGATTATAATATAATCATAGTAATAATAATAATAAAGGCTCTGTGTGTAGAGGTGAGCCGCACACGGGGCTTCCTTTTTCTAAGAGCCAGAGCAAAGAAGGAAACTCTCAATTTCAATATTTCCATTGTTCAGAAGAAAAACAGAGAAAAGGGAGAGGAGCATCGTGGTAATTAATGAGCTCCTCCCCACCCAGAGCAGTCCCCTGCTGCTGGAGCCCTGCTTTAGTGAGGCTGGTGAGACCAGACACCCACGGCGGGGGTGGACCAGCCCCATATGTATCTTCACAAGCAAATTCCACTGTCAAAGATTTGGCGCCAACCTTTCACCTTGAACTCAGTGGGATTTGCTTTGCTGCTTGTCCCAAGGACTCGGACCTGGGGTAGTTGGGAGGGAGGAGGTAGAGAGGGGGTGTGTCTGTATTTCCAGGGGTTCATTGATGCTGCTTGGTTTGTGGTGGGGCTGATTTTGAGTCTCCAGCTCTACTTTTTGTGAAATTCCTGGTCCAGTAGGCAGAGATGAGAGAGGAGGGGGGCAGGTTGGCTGATGGGGCAGTGGTTGCCACCCGTCCACACAGAACACTATTCGTGTCTCCTCTCTGTTCACCAGAAGGTGCCTGGAAGCTAGGGGAGAAGCTTTTGAATTAAAAAAAAAAAAAAAATCTCACTCACACTTCACAGATGAGCCATATGCAGAATAGTCCCCTTTTCTCTCAAACCAGCTGATTTCCATGGGAGCAAGAAAATGCCCAGAGAACAGGGTGGGGACCTCCAGTGCACAGAGACTGCAGAAGGACCAAGGGACCTGTCTGGTGGGCCAGGACAGCTGGCAGGCACTGTGGAACCCTGCATGGTTTGTGCAGGGAAAGAAGCACATGGCTGGCCTGTGTTTGGAGCTTGCCCTGTTCTTTTCTCCTGTGTGTCCTTGAGCAAGCTGTTAGACCTCTCTGGGCCTCAGCTTCCTCCTGTGTGTCATCAAGGAAGCAAAGCCTACCTGTGGGGTTGTTAGGAGAATGACATGGTGTGCCTCGTGGCACCTGGGGGCCATGTGATCAACGTCAGTCTTCTCCTCTTCCCCCATTCTACTTGTTATGAGTTTTGTTTGCATTCTTGGGATTGACTCTGAAAATCTTGGCAGGTATTCCTGAGGGAGGAGATGGTCATTTTTCTCCTGAGAGCCCAGGCGGAGGGGGGCGGGAGGGAAGCAGAACCTGTAGACAATAGGCAGTGCGTCCAGAGAAGTTGGTATGTGGAGGAGAAACTTGTTAAGGCTGGACTGTGAGCCTGGTCACAACAGGGACACCTTCGGTCCTGCTCACTGGTATGTGTCCGATGCCAAGCGCAGGCCTGGGCATCCATTAGGAGCTCAGCCAATGCTGGTTGAGCAAATACAAGGGATGTGGGAAGAGAAAGGTGCTCGAGATGGGCTGGGATGTGTGTGTGGATTTGGACTTCAGAGAAATAAGGATCTTCTAAGCAGCCCTCCAACACCGGAACTGGCTGCCTGGTGAGGAAGTGAGCGCCCAGTCACTTGGGGGCAACCAAACATCTGTCAGGAGTGTTGTACCAGGAAGAAGGTGGAAATGCGCAGGAGGCCTGGTGTTAAGTGTTTCCCTGTCTGAAAATGAGCTTCCCAGCTCCTCCTCCCTTTTT